GACCTCCTCCTGAGGAAGTGCCTTGTACTTCAAAATTTACTATCCTCTCCCCACGTACAACTCATATCCCCTCAGCAAAGACTGGGGTGAGAAGTAACCTGATTAATGTAGTTCATCATGACTCAAGGGGGACTAAGAGAACAAGTGGAAAAAAGCATTGGCTTTGAAGCTACATAGACTGGGGTTTGAATTATGACTCAACCACTTAACTGGCCATGTGGCCTTTGGAAGTTCCTTAACCTCTTGTCGCCTTAGTCTCTTCGTCTGTAAAATAGGTATTGTGCTGTCTATCTCATAGGATTGATGGGAGGATATATGTAAAGGCCCTACCCTAGTATCTGCTATATGAATGTACATCAAAGAGTTTGTGGAATAATACAATTAAAAGATAATATGAATCTCTCCATAAACTTTTTGAAGACCACTCATATAGCTGGTTTTCAACAAATAATAATTATTGTTATCCATATTTCTTTAGTTTTCCCATTGCTCATACCTTCCTAAAGTATTTTGCTTGTTTATAACTTTTTTTTGAGATACTGTAGTAGAGTTGATAGAAGAGGGGATCAGAAAGAAGGAAACATAACTGTCTGTAATTTGGGACCAGTTATTTTCTTTGCCTGGGCTCTAGTTTCCTTGTCTGAAAACTGAGATAATTGGGCAAGATCATCTTCAGGATCCTCCCCAGCTATAGCATTCTATAATCTATCCCATTCCTAACCGAATTGTGTTTTTTCTTTATTTGATCTGATAGGCAGCAGAACAAAGTGAAGATTTCTTGAAGCAAGGTGTTTTTTCTCCAGCAGAGCTTGTTCCCTATAAATAAAGCACCCCAGAAATAAAATTCTCTACTCTCTCAGCCTTTGTTGCTACAGATAATTTTTTATTTATTTCTAGTTGCAAGTCACCAATGTTCTGTCCCAGCCTCTGACTCAGGCCACAGTTAAACTAGAACATGCTAAATCTGTTGCTTCCAGAGCTACTGTGCTCCAGAAGACATCTTTCACCCCTGTAGGGTAAGTCCCAAGCATGTTTATATAGGGCGCCAACCTATTTGTTTTGGAAAGTTAACCTGCAGCCAGATTAATATGGCTGTAACAGATTAATATGGATATTACCAAGATCATAAAATCAACTTTACCTAAATTTCAGCTAGGTAAATTTGATCTACTGGTATCAAAATCCTATAGTTGAATATAAGAAGAGGATTTTTTTTTTTTTTTGTCTTTTGTCTTTTTTCTGTGTCCGGCAACGGATTGCAACCCTCAGTGTTGCCCCATACCAGACCGGGGACCGGCAACGGGATTGCAACCCTCGGTGTTGCTCCTGCGCCTCGCTCAGCCAGTGAGCGGGAACCGGTCTGTATGTGGGATCCGAACCCTCGGGCGGGAGCGCTGCCGCGCTTCCCAAGCGGTGCACTATCCAGTGCACCACCGGGCCAGCCCAAGAAGAGGATTTTTTAAATGAAGAGAATTTTGGTTTTACTACTTCCTTCTTTATTTCTAGTTGGTTCTATGTTGTTATGATATAAATAGCTATTTTAAAATTTAATCTTTTTTTCCTGATGTATGAAAATACATGTTTATTATAGGAAAAATACAGAAAGGACGAATAAGAAAATAAAAATCACGCATAATTCTACCACCCACAGATAACTGCTAACATTTTACAGTCTTTTTTGTCACTATTTTTTCTATGTATGTAAATACATCTTTAAAATTTAATTAGGATTATGTTTTAGCTATAGCAATGTGTCATGAACATTTCCCGATAGGATTAAATATTTTTCTGCAGTCATTTTTAATGGCTGCATTTTGTTGCTATGTAAATTTTTTTGAAATTATGGGTCAGTTTTTGCATGAGATTTTGTTAAGTGTTAAATTAGTAAGTTACTGAGATCAGAAGTTTTGAATTTTAGAGAGAAAATACATTTCTTAGTCATAAAGATACATAGGCAATATGTGAAATTAAAAAGCAAAATCTTTTTAAAGAATGATTAGTAGAGTGGTAAAAGACTGGGAATTTGCTATATAGTTAGAGTTAGAACTTCTCTACCTTTTTTTCTTCAAAATAAAAATTATTAATATTTTTCATAAAAGTAAATTATGTCCTTTTTGGGAAATGTATAAAACATGGAAAAGTAGAAATAATGCCATAAAAAGACCCACATTTATACTTCCCTACACCAACCTCTTTGAGCATTTGGGGTATTTCCTTCTATATTTTTTTTGGTTAAACTTGATTGGGATTGTACTGTAGGCCTACCTGTTTTACATTAAAGTATGGAAAGCTACTAGAAGGAGGTGGAATTTTAGGAGCTAAGGAGGAAACAAAGGGAAAGAAAACTTTGGAAATTTGGGAGAGGAATTCACTGCAGATAGTTTTTCAGTTTTTCACACATTGTAATCTGTGATTGAGCAGGAGATTGCCCAAGTGGAGTGGGAAGTTGAAAAGTTAGGGAGTGGTGTAGCCCTGGACTGTCTCAAGGAGACACTTTGTAGCCTGTGTTTGTTATATTCATGACTTCCCTACATGCATTCTTGCTAACCCTGCTGTCATTCTTAACAGGGATGTTTTTGAACTAAACTTCATGAATGTCAAATTTTCCAGTGGTTATTATGACTTCTCTGTCAAAGTTGAAGGTGACAACCGTTATATTGCAAATGCTGTAGAGGTAGGTGCTTTTCTTGTCATCTCCATTGCCATGTTAATATATCCAAGAAAATAACCAAGTAAGTAACACAGCATTAGTAGTCTGATTTATTGACTTATCTGTGTGATCAAGCTGATGTGACTGTTGAGAGGGATATGTTTGAACTATGCTGTTAGACAGACTTAGCCAAGGCAGTAAATCAGAATCTTGGTCATAGCAAATTTATATTTATTTGTAAATTATTCATTTTCCATTATAATTTAGCATTACTATCTTACATAAAATTTAGAAGTAGAAAAAATAAAAATCACCCATAATTCCACTGAGGCATAAATAATCGTAAAATGTCTGGTGAGATAGGCCTTGGTAGGTTTAGAAAAGTGCTTGATGCCAATTAAGTGAGAAAAAGCGTCAAGTGACGCATATGTAACACTGTAATGAGGCTATCTGGGTAGAGCACAGAAGAAAATTGGTAATCTTTCATAATGAATTGTGTTCCAGATGTTTAGGTAGCTCAAGTTGGGTTGAAGATCCAAGTAGCTTTAAGGATAGAAAGCTAAGTCTCATTTATCTAATGCTTTGTGGGAATGAGGTATTTCACATTAGCGTATTTCTCAGCTAATTGAAGTTTACCCTTTCAGGCACTGTGGTTTTGCTTTAACCTTTTTATTTTTTATTTAATTTTTTTTTCTTTTGATTGCTGGCCAGTATGGGGATCTGAACCCTTAACCTTGGTGTTACCAGTACCACACTCTAACCAAGTGAACTAACCGGCCAGCCCACTTTAAGGAACTTTATTTAAGATGAATGACACATTTTCCTACTTTCTTGAACTCTGGAAATATGGTTGAACCCTTTCTTACTCCAAATTAGGATCATCAATATGAACCCTTTGTTGAATGCCTGCTCCATGAGAAGCACAGTTCTATGTGCTTTTGCTTATATTATGTTATTCTTACAACCCTGGAAGATGGGTAGAGTCATCTTCATTTCATAGATGAAATTCAAAGGAGCGGAGTAACTTGTCCAAGATCAACCGTCCTATGTGTGGATAGATCCCCTGTACAATACTAGTTCGGTAATAAGCCTTGAATATAGAGCTAGCCTCAGAGGCTGTGTACAGCTCCAATAGCTGGCCTTTTTTAGTGTTACTTTCTCCTTTCTCTTCCACTGCTTCCAGCTGTCATTTCTCAATGTTTCTGTCAAGTTTCAGTGTCCTTGCTGCATCTACTTGACTACATCATTGTGCCTTTTGTGGAGGAGGGATCTTGGAGTGGTACTGTGCCTTTCCTGAAATGTTAAATGTATGCTGTTTGTGACAACCATGTTTTTTACTATTCAAATGTCATTTTCCATTCACTTTTCTTAATTGAAAATTTTTTAATCTTTTCATTTTGAAATCATTTAAATCCTAATAACATTTGCAAAAATAATATGTAGAATTCCCACATACACTTCACCCAGTTTCCCCAAATGTTAATGTGTTATGTTACTATAATATGATTGTCAATACCAGGAAATTAACATTGATATAGTACTATTAACTAATCAACAAACCTTAATTCAAATTTCGCCAATTGTCCTACTCATGTCCCTTTCCTGGTCCACTATTCAATCCAGGATCATGTATTCCTTGAGTTGTCATGTCACTTTAATCTTAAGGTAATTTAAGATAATTTCTTTGTCTTTCATGACCTTGATACTTTTGAAGAGTACTGGCCAGTTACTTTGTAGAATGCACCTCAGCTTGGGTTTGTCTCATGTTTCCTGATGATTAAATTCAGGTCATGTGTTTTTTGCAAGAAAACTCCAAATGTGATTCTCTGTGCTTCTCAGTGCATTGTATCAAGAAGTGTATGATGTTGACATGTCTCATTACTGTAACCTTGGTCACTTGGGTAAGGTGGTGTCTACTAGGCTTCTCCCTGTAAAGTTGCTGTTTTTCTGCTTTGTAATAACTATCTAGTGGGGTGATACTGTGAGACTCTGCAAATATCCTGATGATCTTGTGTGCGACAGTTATTACTATGATGTTTGCCAAAAGTCGATTTTCTTTCTTTCATACCTTCTACATTTATTAATTGGAATTCTACCATAAGAAAAAAAAGTGTCCTTTCTCTCTCATTTATTTATTCAATTATTTATAATTATGAAAATATATTTATTATAATATATTTATAATGTAATATATTGTATATGATTTATGTAATACGAGGGTACTTCAAAATGTTTGTGGAAATTAGAATTAGAAGATAGTACTAAAAAATAAATAACTAAATAAAAATGAAAAAAATTTAAAAGATAATACTAATCTTTCCATGAACATTTTCTTTTGTTTTTTAGCAGCTGGCCAGTAAGGGGATCTGAACCCTTGACCTTGGTGTTACCAGCACCACACTCTAACCAACTGAGCTAACTGGCCAGCCCCCATGAATGTTTTGAAGTACACTCATATGTTTAAATATATTATATTATGGATATTTATTTTACTGTAAAGATTATGATTAATTGCTGTCATTTATTTTGTTGCTCATATTGTCATAGATTTTGCCTTTGGAGAGCTCCTCAAGTTGGCTCCTGTGATGCTCACTTTCTTTTAATGAAAGGAGTAGTCAGCTAGAGTTTGACCTTTTCAAATGTTACTTAACATAGGTAGATTAAATGCTTATATTTAAAGTTTGTCAGAAAGGAATATGTTTTCTGGAATGCTAGTCTCTCTGCCTCATGTCTGACCTTTTGAGCATGAGACATCTGATCCTAGTCCATTCACTAACATAACATTTGGATAGAAACTATTGTCATTTATAGTTTGAACCTTTAAAATCTGGATTCTTTTGATGTTAGTTTCCTTCAGTAACAGGCCTTATTTGCATTTTAGCACATTGAAAGGAAAGTGCTTTTTTTGTTTTTTTCCTGAAACCTTCTTCTTTCCACCTTCCTTACCTTGGTAACAAGATGTTGAGCTCAGATGCCAGGTTTATATCTCAGTTGTTCTTGATCTCTTCCGTTCTTTTCACTTCTAACTTCTAGTCAGTTACTAAGTTCTGTTGATTTCCACCTGTGAATGTCTTTTCCACCAGTCCTTTGTTGTTGCTTTATTAGGTATTGCCAACTTGCTCTTTTTTTAATATTCTTATCAATATTTGGTATTATCAGTTTTTAATAATCTGATAAATAAAAGTGGTATCTTGTTGTTTTAATGTTTTTACATGGTTACGAGTGAAGCGTGTGTGTTTTCTTGTATTTATTGCCCATTTAGTTTTCCTTTCCTATGAGTTATCATATGTCTTTTGCCTGTTTTTCATTTGGTTTGTTAGTCTTTTTATTATTATTATTTTTATCTTTATTTATTTTGCTGTGCCTATGTGATTTGAGATAAATCCTTTATTTTTAAATTTTATTTTACTATTTTTAAGGATATGCACATTTATTTGATCAAACAACAAATACAGAAACTGAATAACAGATGAGTAACAAAATACTCTGTAGAAAGTAGGGCTCCAAATTTTCACAAAAACTGGAGATGTAGAACTATTAAATTGTACATATTTCATTTTATAATCTCTACAATTATTTGGAATAGCTCTCTAAAGTCTTCCAAAAGCATGCAAATATCAAATTAATTTCTAAGCTAATTAGCAATTAAGAACTTAATAAAAAGAAATTAAGAACAGAAATTAAATGTCTAAGTTTAGCAAAATAAATTACATTAAAAAATAATAAAACAGAATATAAGCACAATGGCACTTCAGAAAGTTCATGAAAAAATAGAATTGAAAGATAATGGAAATCTTTCCATGAGTTTTTTGTTTATTTGTTTAAATTATTCCTTTTTTTGAAAACAAAGACTATGGTCATAGAATATATGTTCTCTGACCATAATAACAGAAGGTAATTTAGAAAACTCAAAAATGTGTGGAAATTAAACAACACTTCCCTAAATACACAATGGGTAAAAAGAAAAGTCACAGGAAAATTAGAGAGTACTTTGAAATAAAGATCAAAGCACAACATATCAAAATTTTTAGGATGCAGGGCTCATGCAGTGCTTAGAAGAAAATTTATACTTGTAAACACCTATATTAAAAATAAGAAAAATCTCAAGTCAGTAATGTAAATTTCTGCCTTAAGAAAATAGGAAAAATAGAGCAAAGTAAACCCAAAGGAAGTATAAGTAGGAAATAACAAAGATTACAACAGAAATATATGTAATAGGGAATTAAAAGACAATAGAGAATTTGTGAATTACTCATGACAGTTTAAGGATTTCGAAGACATCATATTAGTTGCATCTGAAAATCAATAGAAAAAGATTAAAACAGAGGCCATTCTCACAAACTCATTCCATGATGCAAACGTCACCCTGATACCAAAATCAGACAAAGATACAACAAAAAAAGAAAACTACAGGCCAATATCCTTGATAAATATAGATGCAAAAATCTTAGATAAAATGCTAGCTAACAGAATACAGCAACACATTCACAAAATTATATACCATGATCAAGTGGGATTCATCCCAGGGATGCAAGCTTGGTTCAACATAAGCAAATCAGTAAATGTGATACATCGCATCAATACAATGAAACACAAGGACCATATGATCATCTCTATAGACGCTGAAAAAGCATTTGATAAAATTCAACATTCATTCATGATAAAGACTCTCTACAAGTTAGATATAGACGGAAAGTATCTCAACATGATTAAAGCCATATATGATAGATAAGCCCACTCCCAATATCATCCTGAACAGGAACTAGACAAGGATGCCCACCCTCACCACTCTTATTCAATGTAGTATTGGAAGTACTAGCCAGAGCAATCAGAGAAGAGAAGGAAATAAAGGGCATCCAGATTGGAAAGGAAGAAGTCAAACTGGGCCTGTTTGCAGATGACATGATATATTGAACAACCTAAAGCCTCTACAAAAAACTCTTAAGAGTTGATAAATGATTTCAGCAAAGTTGCAGCATACAAAATCAACACACAGAAATCAGTAGCATTTCTGTACTCCAACAGTGAACATGCAGAAAAAGAAATCAAGAAAGCTAGCTCATTTACAATAGCCACCAAAAAAGTAAAATACTTAGGAATAAAGTTAACCAAGGATGTGAAAAATCTCTACAAAGAGAACTACAAACCACTGTTGAGAGAAATTAAAGAGGACACAAGAAGATGGAAAGATATCCCATGCTCTTGGATTGGAAGAATCAACATTGAAAATGTCCATACTACCCAAAGTGATCTACAAAGTCAATGCAATCCCCATCAAAATTCCAATGACATTTTTCTCAGAAATGGAAAAAACTATCCTAACACTTATATGTTACTATACATTCCTACCAAGTATGTATAAGAGTTCCAATTTCTCTACATCCTCATCAACACTTGTTATTACTATCTTTTTTGTTATAGCCATCCTAGTGGGTGTGATGTGGTATCTCATGGTTTTAATTTGCATTTCCCTGATGGCTAATGATGTCGAACATCTTTTCATGTGCTTAGTGGTCATTCGTATATCTTCTTTGGAAAAATGTCTATTCAGATCCTTGGCCCATTTAAAAAAATTTTTTTTGGTCTTTTTATTTCTTCCTTCCCAGTCTGTATACCTCTTATTTCCTTTTACTTGTCTTTTTATGTTACTGAATCATAAGAGTTCTTTATATATTCTGGTTACAAGTCCCTTATCAGATACATGATTTGTTGCAAATATTTTCTCACAGTCTATAGGTTGTCTTTTCACTTTCTTTTTTATTTTTATTTTGGCAGCTGACCAGTACAGGGATCAAAACCTGGACCTTTGTGTTATCAGCACCACACTCTATCCAACTGAGCTAACCTGCGAGCCTCTCACTTTTTCGATGTTGTCTTTTGAAGCACAAAATGTTTTAATTTTGATGAAGTTCAATTTCTTTTTCTTTTGTTGCTTGTGCTTTAGGTGTCATAATTTTTTCTTTTTTTTTTTTTCTTTTTGTCTTTTTTCGTGACCGGTAACGGGATTGCAACCCTCGGTGTTGCGCCCGCACCACGCTCAGCCAGTGAGCGGACTGGTCTCTATATGGGATCCGAACCCTCGGCGGGAGCGCCGCCATGCTCCCAAGCACCGCACTCTACCGAGTGCGCCACCGGGCCGGCCCATAATTTTTTCTAATTGAAACATAATTGGTTATACATATTTGTGGGGTACAGAATTGACTATCAGTATCTGTGTATAATATGTGATGATCAAATCAGGATAGTTGGCATATTTGTCATTACAAAACATACTCATTCTTTGTGTTCATTAACCAATTTCTCTCCAATAGGTATCACAGTTAAGGAATCATTGGACCGAGCCCGTGGCACACTCGGGAGAGTGTGGCGCTGGGAGCGTAGCGACGCTCCCGCCGCGGGTTCGGATCCTATATAGGAATGGCCGGTGCACTCACTGGCTGAGCGCGGTGCGGGTGACACCACACCAAGGGTTGCGATCCCCTTACCGGTCATGAAAAGACAAAAAAAAAAAAAAGGAATCATTGCTTAAACAAGGTCATGAACATTTGCTACTTTGTTTTCTTATAAGAATTTTATAGTTTTAGCTGTTACTCTTAAGTTTCTGATCCATGTGGAGTTAATTTTTGTATAGGATATGAAGTAGAGGTCCAGCCTCCTTCTTTTGCATGTGGATATCCAGTTGTCAAGCATAATTGGTTGAAAAGACCATTTTTTCCCATTGAATATCTTTTTTTTTTTTTTTTCCTTTTTTGTCTTTTTTTCATGACCGGCAATGGATCGCAACCCTCAGTGTCGTGCCCGCACTGGACCGGGACCGGCAACGGGATCGCAACCCTTGGTGTTGCGCCCGCACCTCGCTCAGCCAGTGAGCGGCCGGTCTGTATGTGGGATTCGAACCCTCGGCGGGAGCGCTGCCGCGCTCCCAAGCGGCGCACTGTAGCAGTGCACCACCGGGCCGGCCCCCCATTGAATATCTTGCCATCCTTGTCAGAAATCAATTGATCATTAATGTAGGGGTTAATTTCTGGACTCACAATTCTGTTCCATTAATCTGTATTTTTGTCCTTATGCTAATACCATGCTGTCTTGATTACTGTAACAGCTTGGCTTTTTGTAACATCAAAGCTGATGTTTGTCCAAGTGTTTCTGTGGTTGTTAGAAAAATTATCTAAGTATAAAATAGCAAAAATGGGTAATAGCTGTTGTTCATGCAATGGTAATAAACCCCACTGAGGCCATTTGCTGTCCTTTTCCACTTTGGTCATGGACTAAGCATTACAGAATCTCTCTTCCTCTTTATTACATTAGAGCTTACTGTGCATGTGTGTGTGTGTGTGTGTGTGTGTGTGTGTGTGTGTGTGAGAGAGAGAGAGAGAGAGAGAGTCGGCTCTGACCTTTGCCATATATGCAACTTTACTTTGTAAT